AGAGGGAGAAGCAGGCTCCTCGCTGAGCAGGGAGCCCGATGCGGGGCCCGATCCCAGGACCCTGGGATCATGACCTGAGCCGAAGGCAGACGCTTAACGACTGAGCCACCCAGGCACCCTCCAGGGGTAATTTTTAAAAGCCAACGATGAAGCAACTCAAGGGCCCGTTGCCGGGTGAATGGATAAAGGAAATGTGGGCTACTGTTACGATGGAATATTATTCAGCTGTAAAAAAGAAGGGAATGTTGAATAGGCTACATGGTGGGTGAAGCTTGAGGGGAGAACGCTAAATGAGACAGGCTGGCCCCGGAGGGACAAATACTGCGTGGCTGCACTCACAGGAGGTGCTAGGATAGTGACATTCGCAGACAGAGGATGGTAGCTGCCAGGGGCTGGGGGGAGGGGGCGAGCTCGTGTTTAACGGGGACAGAATTCCAGTTTTGCAAGCTGTAAAGGGTCATGGGGATGGCTGCTCAACAATACGGATGCATTTAATACACTGAACTGTACCCTTAGAAATGGCTTAACGAGGGCTAAAATGGTAGATTTTATGTTATGTGTATTTTACAATTTTTTTTTTAAAAGCCAGTGATGATGGGGAAACTGTTTATCATCACAATTTCCCTTGAAAGTCCTTGAAACCACCAGTAAGCCTTCCAATCCGTGTTTTTGCGAACACAGCCTGCATGGTGTCCACGCGTGGCGGGCTGGGGGCCAGGGCTGGCATAGACGGGGTCCGAGCCCGAGGGGCTCGCCACAGCTGGGGGCACCGGGGGACCAGCAGGCGGCTCTGCCTGTGCCCTCCGAAGAGCGGTTGCAAGTTCTCGCTCTTTCTGCCGTGCTGGGGCACGGGGCTCCGCGTGTGTGAGCAGCCGCGTGCGCGGTATGACCCCAGCAGGCTTCCGCTTTACCCCCGTGGCACGAACGAGTCTGTTAAACCACCAGTGCGATCAGGCTGCAGCACTGAAAAAGGTGTCCCTGGTGGGCCTCCCGCCACCCTGCTGTCCCCGTTGCTGTGAGTCAGTGTCATTCCTTCCAGCTCAGTCATCACACAAAGCCTCCAGGATGACAGGCCCCAGGGACACCTGGGCAGATCCCAGGGTGGCAGTGGGTGGCGGGTCGGGGGCATGTCCACCCCGGGGCGAGCCCACTGAGGGGACACCAGTGCCTTGTGCTGGCCTACAGCCAAGAGTGGCCAAGCCACTCTCTGCAGCTGGAACCGCGAAGGCCGCTCTCTGACCTGTCCAGGTGAGGGCGCCTTGCCCCAGGACGAGCCACTCACCAGGCCTTGGCACACACTGGACATGCCTGCCTGGTGGCCTCCCAGTCCCTAGGCCTCATGCTGGCCTGGGTCTCCCCATGCTGCGTGTCCTCTAGGAGGGGCCTGGCTCGCTCACTGCTGCACCCCCGATTCCTCCCGCCCGCCCCCCCCCCGGGCCCATACATGGTGGGTGCTCGGTCAAGGTGCGTGGTGTTCAAATGACTCAGCAGCGCAGGTGAGAGCAGAGGGGCCTGAGATTAGAGTGGCATGGGGGGATGCGGCTGACATGCGGGCTTCCCAGCGGGAGAGTCAGCGGGAGGGAGGAGCAGGGAGAAGCCCCTGGGCCTGGCCCCGCTCGCTGACCCCTCAGCCCTCCCATCGTTCAGATAAGGAGATGAATGCTCGCAGAGAAAGGCGGGTGCCCAGCTCCCGCACTGCGTACCTGGCTGAGTGGGACTTGAGCACAGGTGTATCTGAGTCCCAGGCCCCATTCCTGTCCACCAGCCCAGCTGGGCCCTGATGCTGGCGCCCCCAGACCACAGCCTCCAGGGGACGCGGCAGACTCCGAAAGTGTGACCAGCAGTGCCCAGGGCGTGAGGACAGAAGCATGTGCTGGCTGGCCGCGGGGGTCACCTCAGCCCCTCCTGGAGACAGGCCAGCCCTCGCCCACATGGAGTCTGGCCCGTGGGCACCAGTCCCGGGTGCCATGTCTCCTTCCCAGCTCAGACCCTGGCTCCGGACCCAAGTCCACCCCCCTCGTGCTTCCATCTGTTGGGTCTGCCTCCTCGGCATCCATTTCCTTTCCTTGTGGCCAGAACACCGGGCTTTGAGGGTGTTCCCGCAATAACCACGCCTTGCGATGAATACAGACCGGGGTGCTGAGACCTTCAGGGAGGCTCCGCCCACACCTGGCCAAGGGGCGGGCACCAGCCCTGGCCGATCAGACGCTGCCACCCTGAAAAATGCACCTGAAGAGGGCCTGACCTGAAGAGGCCGGCCTGGGAGGGCTTGGCTTCTGAGTCACAGCTGCCCCCTTCCTACACGTGCACTTCTGTCTCGGTTTCCCTGCTCACATCCCCTACTCCTGCTTGCCCAGCCCCCACCCATGAGGCGCATCTGTCTCTGCGTGTTTAGGTCTCCAGGCCCAGCATCTGGAGGTCCTGGGGCTCCCGCGACAGTTACGAGGCTGCCAGTCTGTGCTGCATCTGCGGGGAGGACCCTGCCCCCCCCAAAGCCATCCTGCAGGTGGGCACCCTTCCTTCTGGGGTTTTGCGCTGTCAGACCCAGAGCCCACCTGCCGCCGGGGTCTAGTGGTGGACAGCTTTTTGGGACTGTGTGGCCTAAGCCTAACTCCTGTATGCGACACAGGGACAAGTGTTGGATCAGATGGAATTCCCGGGAAGGTACAGACCTAGAGGGTAACCTTTCTCTCATTCCCCAACATTTCTCTCATTCCCCAAACATCTAACCTTCCTCTTCACTGGCAAGAGGCTGGCAAGGGCCCTGTGGTTCCCCCCAAGGAGAGGTCCCTAGAGAAAGTCTAGAGTTGTGGGCACAAAAGAGCACAGCTCCACTGGGATCCTGGGGGACTGACCACATGCTCAGACCTTCCAAGTTTAATAAATGCCAGGACTCTTGACTTGTATGCTTGGTATCCTCATTTTTTCTTTTTCTTTTTCTTAGAAGGGGGAGCAGAGGGAGAGGGAGAGAGAGAATCTCAAGCAGGCTCCATGCCCAGGAGCCTGATACGGGGCTTGATCTCACAAGCCTGAGATCATGCCCTGAGCCAAAACCAAGAGTCGGAGGCTCAACCGACTGAGCCACCCAGGCACCCTGGCTACTCTGATTTTAAAGGTGGCAATTCAACTTATTAAAAAAAAAAAAAGCCACCATGGGGGCCACAGCGTGGGACAAAAGCATATTTAGAAACAACATCTCTAGCTCCCAGGTGGGCAGTTTCCAAGCCCCGCTCTGCTGTCACAGTCCCCGGTACTGTTTGTTGGTTGGCATTCAAAAACAAAGAATGCAAAGAATGGAAAGCCATAGAACCTATGGAAGAAAAGCACATGGCTGGTCAGCAGAGTGTGTCTTGGGGGCTGGAGAGACGTGCTCCCAGGCCTCTGTCCCTGGCTGGCTGCTGGGCCAGGCCTGGCTGAAGGGACAGAGACAGAGGACGCCCCTAGAGGATGACCCTTTGCTGCACGAAGGGTCTCCTGAGCTTTTCAAGTGCCTTCATGTGCTGAGAACGGGAAGAAGAATCCCTCCTCTTCAGTTTATGGAGAGGAGCCACGAGATTAAGTGCACAAAGCACCCAGCACAGCGTCTGCCATGGAGAAGAAAGGGCCGCCAAGACCAGTCCTCCCCAAGGGCCCACGCCACCTGCAGGGCCTGGAGCCATAACACGGGTCGTCATTCCAACTGCTAATGGTGCTCTGGGCCAAAAAGACTTGTCCACTGGGCTCCCGCGATTTACCAGGTTTTCCAAGCTGGCTGAGGCTTGGAGGGCCCTCTACCCCAACACCACTGGAATTTTGATAGAGATTGCATTAAATTTGTAGATTGCTTTGGATAGAATTGACATCTTAACAATATCAATCCATGAATACAAGGTGTCTTTGCATTTATTTGTGTCTTCTCTCATTTCTTTCAGCCACATTTTATACTTTTCACTGTGTAAGTTTTTCGTTTCCTGGGCTGAGTTGATTCCTAACTATAAGCTCCTAAGTCTATTCTTTGTGATGCTATTGTAAGTGGGATGGCTTTATTAATTTCCTTTATTTTTAATGTTTTTTTAAGATTTTATTTATTTATTTGAGAGAGAGAATGAGAGAGAGAGACAGAGCGTGAGAGGGGGAAGGGTCA